AGTATTCGATGCTTTTACCAAAGGTTCCCTTTTTCTTAGGCTTCTACATTTTTCTTCCAGATATCGAAACAGCGGCAGAAAACTGTGCATAATTTCTAGAAGTTTTGTGTGCTTGTTTTGATGTTTGAAAGCTGTTCTAAAATTTCTCGGGTTAAGTTAAAAATTCATGTTTTCGTTTTTGCGCATGCCTGTCCACCTGTTTGCCTGCTTCTGTGCTATTTCGTTTATAAATGCGTTTCGCTTCTTTCTTATTCTTTTTTTACAGCGAAAAAGGAGCACCGAGATGTAGAAGAAATGGACGAATTCAAATTAGCAGGAGAATTAATTGATGTGAAATCAGCGAACGATCTCTGTAAAAAAGTAAAGCTATAGTTCATTATGTTTCGTCTGCCAGTTTTACTTTTTTCTTCTTGTACAGGGCGTTACTGCAAAATCATTAAGACATGTGATGATTTTAGTTTCAAAAAAAAAAAACATTTTCCATTGTCCAGCTTAGAACGAAGTGTGATCTCATGCTGGAGTTATCTCAAAATTTTTCTTACTGTTTCGGCTATTCGCAATCCGCAGTTTTCAGTTTGTAGCACAAATCCACCCGTTACGCTAAATTTTGTTCTTACACTGCAGCTTTGTTTTCCTTTCCCTTAAATGAGTGGAAAGAAAAATTCGCAAGCTTTGCGCTAGTTGCGAAATGTATTTTCTTTCATATCAGTAAATGAAGGGTTTAAAAAAAAAACACGAACGTTATTAGAATTTTTGCAGGTATTTTATACATGTTATATGCAATCAAAGAATTCTTCTACGGAAACAAAAAATTTTGCGCGTAACCTTGCAGCACAAATTTCTTCCAGTCATTTGTGGTAACTTTTACCTCTTTTTTTTTATTTTTTGGAACAGGAAATATTTTGATATCTTGAAGAAGTGGTTGTTTCTTCGTCGTTTTTCTTCTAGCCACTGTTACGTTGTTAATTTCTCCATTCTTCTCTGTCATGAGTCGCTCTCACCCACTTGGTATAGAGAGCCATAAAAATGCGGTGGAACGAAATGCAAATTAGCACTTTTATTGACTTCCTTTCACGCTTTTTTTTTGTTCGAAAAATATTTAAATGTCGCGGAATTTAGTATTGATATTGATGAAATGGTGAAAGCGTTTGTGGATATGACTGCTAAAACATTTGATCCAAAATTCGCAGATGGAATTCCGGTAAGTCATTTTGACTTAGTCCTATTTTTCAACACAGCACAGGTGTATACGCCCAAATAAATGTTTCTTTTTATTTTACATTTTTGAAAGATTATGAGAACATAGCACTTTTTGTGCGTAAAAGTGCCATGCTTTGGGATTATACATTGTGCACCTGTTTGTACGTATGTGTAGTATCTGTAATTATCATATAATTATATTTTTCCGCGTTCTAGTCTTCATTTTTATGCGTTTTTTGCATCTACGCAATGTAAAAATGCATGTTGTGGAGGGGTGTTTGAGTGTGCCTTTATGTTCATCTGTACCGATTTTTCATCTCAAGACCTACAAAAATTACGGGGTTGAAACTCTGAAACCTTAATCTACATGCTTTTACGGGCCTCCTTCCCCAAAATGGGCGCCCTTACCCGCGTGGTACGTACGTGCCGGCCCGCCAGAGTTTTTGTCAGACAAGCTGCTAATCGGAAACCAGAAAAGCTCGAAAGATGAAATTTTAAAGGAATGTTCCCTTCCACATGGAACTTAATGATATCAAATTCAACGCCCGGGATGCCTGGTTCCCACGTACTTGCCCGTGGAAGTTTTTTACAGATAAGTTGCTAACGGGGAACATGAAAAGCTAGAATGCTGGGATTTTAAGGGGATGTTTTCAGACAATCCTGGTGGCCAGTACCAATCCTCTTTGCTAGATCTGCAGGAAAAGCGGTGCTCTTAGCGACAAAAACTGCGGGGAGCTATGCAAAAAACGCATCTGCGCACCGACATTCGTTGCGTTGGCCATTTATTTTATGTCTGATAGCAACAAATAATTTGTAAATGTGGTTGCAGTGGGATGAACCGCGAGTTTCATTAGGCATGCAGAACATACAAGCTCGGGTTCGCATGGTGAGCGCTTATCTTTTGGCCCAGTTGGCTCTTTATTTTGGTCAAAAACCAGGGTCGTTGCTGGTGCTTGGATCAAGTAATGTTGATGAGGTGTAAGCTTTTCTTTGGCATGAAGTATTGGTTTCTTGTTTACTTTTAAGAGAAATGTTTTGTCTTTTCGTTGTGTTGCTGAGTGAAGTTGCACTGCTCTTTTCAGTTTGGTGGGCTACATGACGAAGTACGATTGCTCTTCGGCGGATTTTAATCCAATTGGTTCACTAAATAAAACAGATCTGAGGGATATGTTAAAATACGCCAGAAACAGCATGGGTTTTTCATCTCTGTCACAGTAAGTGCCATCTTCGTGACAGTTGCCTGGAATAGTTATTAATCATAGCATATTTCTCCTTTTTCAACTTATGCAGTTCCTTTCCTGCATAGCATGGCCGCTAGTTTCTTGGGTATCCTAACGTTCGTTTCGGAATCATCTCACCAGTTCTGTCAGCAGAAGCAGCTGCTAGAAAAGCTGTAGTTGTTTCGAGGTATTCTTGGTATGTTTGCTGTGCATTGCTATCCGGCCTGGAATGTTGTTATTCGAA